GAGCACAACAACATGAACAAACTTCGAAGACAGCCTCTTTTTGTGGATAACAGCTTTCTTTACCTACATTCCTTCAATGCTGAGTTGAACTGGGTAACAGCAGGGGTGATTTTGCTCCGGGGAAATCCCGGAATTCCGGGGATTTCCGGGGATCGTCGTTCAAAAGGAAGTAGGAATAATAATGAATTATTTATTTTGATCTGGGTAATTTTGTTTGCTTTGAAAGCAGAAAAAACAAGGTGAGTGTGTGTGGTGAAAACTTTTCCTTTCTTTCTCCAAAGGCAGTGATAATACGTGAAAAGGGGGAAAAAACTTCTTTTTTTTTTCTTTCCTTATTGCGAGTTATGACTCATTCCCCCGGTTCTCGGACATTCTTTTCTGGATCCTTTTCGGCAAGTAGGCGTGGCAGAAAAAAAAGGGGAGAGACTTCGTTCGACCAGATGTGCGATCACGTGACTCTGGGTTCAAAGGTCTTATCTCTCCTGGCGTGGCGCCAATAAGTAGAGAAGGGGGATTTTTCGCGCCGTATTAGCTATTTGTCATTGATCGCTTCTCAACTTTTTTTTATCCGCTGTGTAAAATTTTCGTTTCATTTATTGATGCACGTGTAAATTTTTCGTTTCGTTTATTGAAATATTTTTTTCTTTATGTACGCAAGAGAATTTCACTATGAAATTTCTCGATATAAATAGTGATATCATACAATTAGAAGAAAGTGTCCAGAATGCATTTAGGTGGAATTGGATTGAACGGAGAGATGGTAATGGGGATACCATCGGCACTTGGTGCAAGAAAATAAATGTTGCTGGACAAGCATATTGTGTTATTGTGTTTTTTGTAACTCACTGCTGAAGTATGGTGGGGAAGGATTCAAGGCTTTCACAAATCATTCTAAAACTGTGACGCACATAAAATATTCAAAGTGCATTAGACATTCAATGACTTTAAGTAATTATGCTAATTCAAAAAATACTGATGACTTACTGGAGACTGATGCTCGGCCATTGGATATAGTGACAAGAAAAGCACGCCAAGAGGTATTAATAACTTCGTTTTATCGCCGAGAATTCTCTTTCTTTCAATGTAGCTCCCAATTTAATTGAACTCTGCAAACAGTTGAGCCGTGATCAGACGGCACTAAACTCGTTGGAAATGTCCAGGACTACTGCATGTTATAAGATGAAATATGGGCTCGCAAAAACTATAAGGAAAATATCATTAAAACTTTAAAGGAGACTCCATTTTCTCTAAATTTGGATGAAAGTACTAGCAATGCTCAAGAAAGTATACTGGCAATATTGGTGCAGTTTTATGACAACAATCAAAATGAAGTTGTAGTTTATCATTTTGCATCTCTAAAGATATGGAATCTTGCAATTCAGAAGCTGTTTTTAAAGCAGTTGTTTAATACTATTGAAGATAATAATATTCCATGGGCAAACTTAATTAGTGTATAATGGACTCGTAACACCATGCGTGGGAAAAAAAAAGGGTGTTGAAACCAGACTACGATCAAACAAAGCACCCCACTTATTAGATATTGATTGTTGACACATGTCACACAGCTAATAACTGTGCAAAAAAAATTTGCTTCATGTTTTTGATAGATACTTAGAAGATTTGTTTGATGACATCTATTTTGATATGAAAAGCTGCAGTAAAAGAGAAAATTTTTTTTCAAAAATCTGTGAATCTCTTGCCATTAAAAAAACTTAAGCCCTTGAAGAGACCAGACCATAGGTGGGGTGTACATTTTATGTGTTTTAGAAAGAATCAAAGATCTGTGGGATGCTCTTATTGCATTTTAATTTTCACTACTTGGATAAAACTGATAAAGGGGATTATATTTTCTTATGTTGAAACTGTATACAATAAAAGAAATATTTCTGCAGCTCAGAAAAAAAATTGTTTTGAAGGGGTGTATTCCTTGCTTGCGTTCCCAACAACTCACAAAGGATGCTTTAGCTCGGAAAAAAAGAATACTAAATGGGTTATTTGTTATGCAAAACAAAAACTTTATTGCATATGGCATATATATTCAGCAGTATTACCAGAGTTCAACACATATATTAAATTATTTGAAAACAAAAAAAAAACCAATGTTTCATTTAATACATTCCAGTATTTATAAATTGATGGCAAAATTTTTCTCTTTTTTTATGAAGCCAGAAAATAGAGTGCACATCTTATTATGATTTATTAGAGGTTGATGTCACACAAATCCAGAATTTCATCATTTACCTAGCAAAGTAATATTTACTGGTGCAGAAGCTTCCACTCTCCTGAAGAAATTATCAAAAAATAATCCAATAGCAAAAGAATTCCAAATTTCTCTGATGGAAGCTTATACTAATACAGCACAGCATATGAAAACAGAAATTACCCCTTAAAAATTCATATCTAATTAGTTTTACAGCATTAGATCCAGAGCTAAGAGGTAAAACCAGTACAATATTAGCTTTTTGAAAAATTATCTTTTATGTCCCATATTTTTAGTGATAATGAAAAGTCAAAAGTAGAAGCTGAAATAAGGTTATACCAGAGTGATATTGATATCACCAAAGAAATGCTCTACACATCTGATGAAAGTGGAAATCAAGTCAAGTGTACAATTGATAAATATTGGTCTAAAGTTTTTAATTTAAAAGATGATTTCACAAATGATTAAGTATCCTACATTGGCTAAATTAGTCAAAGCCTGCCTTAGCTGCTTCCATGGCCCATTAGTGGAAAGTGCATTCAACTTAATGGATACACTTGTCACTGACTATAGAACCTCTCTTAAGATTGATTCCCTACATGCAGTGCAGACTATTAAATATGATTTAATGGCTTCTAAAGAAACCTCATGGGAAAAATATGGCTCAAAAAATCCAATGACTGATCCAATTCACAAAGATCTCTTACTGAATATGAACAGAAGCTGGAAAACATTCAAGAGGACTTAAAAACATGTATTTCAGATGAGTCACCTATAAAAGTCTCTGAAAAACCTTCTACATTAGCAGAAAAGCAAACTGCTTCTACCTCTGCATGTGCAGTTCTCGAGGAAATTTCTTCAACTGTAAATGAGGAAAATAAAAAGTCAACCTTCCTGCAATTATGAAGTTCACCACAAAAGAAAGACAAGCCCACAAACATCAGAAATAAAAAAAAAGCAGCAGAAATTAGATAATTTTTTTAAAGAATTAATTCAGGTAATTTAAAATATTTACATAAAATGTAGTAGTTTATATGTTTGAAAATTTATGGTTATTAATTTTTCAAAAAAAGTAATTCATTGATTGAACTTTTATAATTAGGTCATTCAATACTTCATAATTGAATTTTTCATTTCTCTCCCCCCCCCTTCTCGAAACTCCAAAATGGCGGTAGTAAGTCCATAAAAGTTTCAGGGAATTTTTGGGGTTCCACAAATACCCCTGTAACAGGCTAGCTGTTGGCGCTGGGCCCAATAACCCTATTGGCAGTGGGGATCTCGGCAAAGCATATTTTTACTTCCCTTAAATAAAGCTAAGACTAATCTAAATAAAATTCATGCTTTATTCCATAAATTAAAATAAAATAAGCTAAGACTGTAGCCTTTACATTTACAACCATTTGAGGGAAAGAAAACTAGCATAATGCTAACTCAAAACAAACATTCGCCGATATCGGCGTACATATATACATACTCGGCCAACCCGCCGATCTTGACATCATCGGCCAATCAGCAGCAACCACATGAGCTTGCCACCGATTGACCTCCGATCGAAATTTGCATAAGTCAACACTAGTCACTGACAGTTTATTTATCCCAGAAGTAGAAGTTGTTTAGATATTGATCTAGCCAGTACGGTGGGATTGCCAATCCCTGTCGACACCAGGAGTGGTCATCCAAACATAGTTAGCCTAGGCGAATCTAGTTACCAGCGTAACCACAAGGAGGCCTATATCGGATTAGGTCAGCGAGAGGCTAGAATTTTCCAAAAATTTCCAGCAAAAGTGTCTGCTTATTTTAATGACTGGCTGGTGCCTTTTTGACATGGTGCTTATTGTCAGCGCAGGTCTGGGTATGAAAATACATCTGCTTTAAGATGATGTTAAAAATTTTATAAATTATAATTCAAATTTTTTTTGAAAAATTTATAAAATTTATTTTAAAATACAAATTTTAAAAATAAATCGTAAAAAAGAGTAAATTTTATTTGGAATGAACCTTAATTTCAAAATGTGAAAGGAAGAATCAACCATGTTTAATAAAAAAAAGAGAGAGATTAGTAAATATATACCAAACTCAATTGTCATTGAGGAGCTAAAATTTTGAGTTAATTTTTTAAAAACTACTCATGCGATTTTTTACGAAACTTAACAGTTTAGGATAATTTGGGTCATAGAATCGAAATATGGAAAAAATTAGCATGTCATTTCAGAAAAGTCCGATTTTGTGTCAAAATACCTGTAATTAGAACAATACAATATATAAATCTAATACATATTCTAAGTCGCACTTTTGAGATGTGAAAAATAGAAGTTGAATTTCATCAGTCGGCCCAATAAAACGAGAGATATAGAACTGTCTTTTTTTTTTTTTTTTCGTAGTGTTCTTATCTATGTCTCAGTGTTCATAGGAATACTTAGATAGTAAATTCAGGTATTAGCGTTTCTTTAAAAAATATCTGAAAAGGCTGCTTGATCTTTAATTTAGGCTTAATATTGATACTGTAATGTGTAAACCAAAATCAAGCATATTGAGCCATTGAAGCTAAAATGACAATGAAATGTTGCTTAAATGAAATTAATGATCGTCAAGTAAAAAAATAATGCTATTTCATCTTCTGTACTAAGCACTGACCAGAGGCCAACTGATAATGCCACAAATCACTAATAGTTCGTTTTGCTTATAGTAATTATTGTAATGCTTTGGTAATTTTATTCATTTTCATCATGATTTATGAGATGTTTAGTATGCCATACCGAAGTGTAGAAATTGCTTATTTATGTCATGTAATATTTTTCAGATGTCATTTCGAATAGTACGAAATAGCCGTTTTCGACATGTATTTGCTCAACCATCCAAGAGAGACAATTGCTATGACAATATAAAAATTACTAAGAGTTCATGGGATTCTAATTTTTGTGCTGTAAATCCAAAATTCTTAGCCATAGTTATTGAAGCTGCTGGAGGAGGTGCCTTCTTGGTTATTCCTTTACAGAAGGTAAGTAACATTTTCTGTTCATTAAAAAGTTACCTCCAAGTTTACAGTATTCTAAGTTTCTATTTGTGGGTATTTTATGTTCATATGTTGCTTTTTCATTCTTTTAACCCGGGAGGATGCGCACTGTATTATGTAACACGAAAACGTGCATGGGGTGTCAACACACCCCAAGCAATTAAATGACGTACAAATTAAACATATTATTACAATTCAATAAAAGAATGCATTCTGTATTAATTGTAACATTTATTATGTAAAGCAGCTTAAAATAATGTTAATTTTAAAATTAAAAACAAATAAATCGTTCTTCAGATGTCTAGAAATCATTGATTTCTATGAGAAATTTTTGTTTTTATTTGTGTAAATGCAGTTATAATCCAAATTATGCAGAATTATTACATGAACAAAGAGTTATATAATTAATATTCAAATCGGTTAGGCCGAAGATCCAGCTATCCTAAAAGAGTCCTAAAAAAGCAAGAAACTCTTCTTTCTCTACAGGTTTTGAGTTTCTTTCTCTTTTAAAATTTCCCGAAATATTTTTTACATAAATATTAGAGCAGTTCATAACCATTTGAATCATTGTATCATCAAATATTAGGTTCCATGCATCAGTATGTGAAGCCACATCTTTAGATATATGCGTATTGCCAGGCAATTTTTTTATGATATTTATGGGATGCCATGCGTCTTTGAATTTGAAAAGGGTTCTTTCTGCCATTCTGTTGTTTTATCCTTTCCTATAAACAGAGTTGCCAACTTTCCCGATTTAGGCGGGAGACTCCCGATTTTCAACCGCTCTCCCGCCAACCCGATTTACAATATATTTCTCCCGATATTTTCTTATTATTAAAATTTCTCACGATTTTTATGGAACTTGGCTTAATACTTTGTTATATGAACAAAAAAAAAAGTGATTTTGGACATCTGAAAAGCAATTGAATTTTTTCTAGATTATATCTAAAACAAAACCTTGCGAATTAGATAACTTCTGTTTTGTGAGTGAGAGCATATACGTATCCAGAAACGTCATTCTCCAGTTCTCCAATGGGCATCGTGCTCCACTGCGTGTCATCTGGCATATATTAGCCAATGAGGACAAAGCAAGCTGTTATTTGGATGTTCTTTAGTTAATTCGGTCATTTTGTCCTGAGTTGTGTGAGTACACGTGCCTTCGGGAAATATTTTTAGAAATTATCATCTTTTGTTATGTCTGCGAGAAAGGTGAAATACTCGTGTACATTTCAAAAATCGTACACAGTTGACTTTCATTCCATTATTTCCTCAAGGAAAAATAAATTTGCGATGTGTACCGCCTGTCGTTGCGATTTTTTGATTTCGCATGGTGGAAGGGCGGATGTTCTCAAACATGTGTGTACACAAAAACACAAGGACAACATAACTTGTTTTGAAAAAAAATGAAAAATTAAATTTTTCTTCGGAAACAAATGACCAAAAAGTTTAATGCAGAATGTCTGTTCTCTGCCTTTTACTGGAGCGCAACCTGCCAATTTACCACAGCTGAAAGAGGGGCAGCTTCTTTACCAATAAATGTGAATGAACACATTGTTGATATTTATTATTATCTTGAAAGGAGTTCTAAAAGGAAGGAAAAATTGAAACAGTTCTAACAGCTGCATAACAGCAGTTTACAATTAGAAAACTTGGATGAAGTTGTAAAATGCTACGACTGGCACCCAGTGGAGTTTAATTGGAAAACTGAAAGATGCTGATGGAATTTTAAAATATAGTGAACTGTCTAGAATTATGTTGCCCATCTTGACAGTTTCCCATAGTAATGCAGAGTGCGAGAGGATTTTCATGGTTGCGAAACCGAGGAGTAAATTTAGATCTAATATGATGACACATGTGATGTTCATGTGATTTCTAATGTGATAACACATAAGAAAAACTTGTATTAGCAAAAGCAGGCCTATGTGGCAATTGCTATGAACAAAATTATGAAGTTTCTTATTAAAGAAAGCAAAATCTGCCACTGTTTATAACATTTGTACGAAAACTGGTTAAAGTGTTTTTTTGTTTTCTGAAACGATGCAAGTAATAAAAATGTTTTTTATGTGTAAGGTATCTTTGTATTGCTTGCATTTAAGAATTAGTAACTATTTAAAGTTAATTCATCATTAAAAACTATATTTTCGTCATTAAAAAAGTCTTTTTAACATTGTGAAAAATTTCCCGATTTCTTTAAAAAAATCTCCTGATTTTTGAGTGTCATAGGTTGGCAAGTATGTATAAAATAGTCAGTTTGATCACAAAGATTGTCTTCTGAAGAGTCGCACTCTTCTTCTGATTCAGACTCATGATCACTAAATATATCTTCATTATCTGAATCTTCTAATTCTTCTATAGAATCTTCATCCGACGAAACTTCCTCTAATTTTTTTATTTAAATTTTTTTCTTTTTTTCAAAATTAATTTTTGAAGTCTTTCCACTTCTTGATCATCTGTCAAATGAGGAAAAGACTGAACAGAGTGACTTGCAAACACCATGGCTCACACTGAAAAATAGCAACACGAAAGCGCGTCGAGCATGTGTCAGCGCATGTGGGGTGTCGAAATACTCCAAACCATTATTTAAACCACGATAAATGCTCAGAATTTGCCTTTTCCTTTTCTCGTCTAGAACATGACCTTGGAGGCAGTTACTGATGGCTCTAACCATTTCGGATTATAGGGGGAGATTGCCAGCGAATTTTTTTTTAGCGACCCCACGCACATCTTCCCGGGTTAAAGCATGTAAGATTTCCCATTAATATCAAATTTAACTTGTGTTTATACGCATGCAAGATTGGTGCTAGGCTTTACACTGGTCAGTGCTATCTCTGTAGTTGCTAATTTCTTTTGACCAGTCCCTCTCTAAATTCTAAGAATATTTCCAACTGATGCAGTTGCATTGATTGCACTGGCTCTGGCATTCGTGCTTAACTATAAACAGTAGATAAACCTGAAAATCATTTTCAGGCAGTATTAGTTTTCATATGTGTATATATATTATTATTATTATTTACATTTTTTTGACATTTTCATGTTGGGTTTAAAGTTATTTGCATGTTAACTGTAAAATGAGATCTTACTTTTTCTGTATTTTTGTTTTAAAATTTAATAGGATTTAATAAACGGGTATTTTAATAAATGAAATTGCATTTTGAGCCTAGGGAGTTAAACAGTGATAATTATTATCACTGTTTAAATACTAAGTTACCATATAGCTAATTATCATATATATAAACTGCATAATAGCAATGTCTATCAGAGTAGTTTCAGTTTAGCCTGTATCTTCCGTATTGGTCACTGTAGTGCCTAAAAACAAACAGGTAACATCATATCACTAGCTTAACCCAAAGGAAACTTTTCCTGCAGTACTAACTGTGTCCCAAAACCAAATACTGTTTGTCAAACAATCAAAGCATTAATGCAAGTAATGCAGTTAAACATTTTGCGTCATGTAATAAAGGAAGTGAAGAGTTTCAATGAAATTTCTGCCTAGATGATTTGTTGTGGGTACTTTTCCTGCCACCCTTTTTAGTGCCGCCTAACCGGTATAGCTGACTACCATGCCGAAGGACTCGGGTTCAAATCCCAGATAAGTGTCTATGTCTATGCGGCATGTAGGCACTCTAGATATGCGGCGAGCCGAAAGCCCTCTCAAGAGGTTGGTGGTAAGGAAAGAGGGGTGGGAGACCATCGAACCCGATCCCCCGGGGTGCTCTCCATTAAAATTGGGGACAGAACTGAACTAAATCACACTGTCACCTGCAAGGTGCTAAAGGCTGTTGTCGACAGCAGGCATAAACTTGCAGTTCTTGCCGCAAGGAATTTCGTGGGGGGGGGTGGAGCTATAGGTCAAGCAAATGAGCATTAGCAACAACAACAACCCTTTTTGATGCCAGTGAAAGAGAAGCCAAACTCATGTCAAGACCCAAAGTCAGCATTTAGCACCATCTCTGGACTATGTATATATGTGTCTGCTTTTGTAAACAAAAATGATTAAACATCCATATATTTTATTACAATAGTAGCTACAGAATGTGTGGCTGGTGCATAACAGAAATATACCTAATAGTTAATTTAATCATTACACATGATTAATTGGGAATTTGGAAAGATTATCCAAATCCCTTTATATAGTTATCAATTGCATTAATGTTTTTATTTTAATGACTTGTGCTATATTTCTTATCAGTAAATTGTGCCTTTTTTCATACTTTTTCATCATGTCTGTGTTACTATTTTGTAATTTTTTATTTTTTTATTTATAGACTGGACGTATAGATGTGAATTATCCTCTAGTCACTGGTCACAAAGGAGCAGTCTTAGATATAGCATGGTGTCCATTTAATGACAATGTCATAGCAAGTGCCAGTGAGGATGGAATTGTGCGTGTGTGGTGCATACCTGAAGGGGGATTGAGTCGAACATTAACTGAGCCTGCAGTTGAATTGTGTGGTCATCAAAGAAGAGCAAGCATTGTATTATGGCACCCATCTGCAAATAATATTCTTCTCAGTGCAGGTATATTTTAATATACAAATAATGTTATTATTTATTCTAATAATACTGTAAAACTCAGTGTATTCAAATGCATTAGTTATAGCTCCAAGCAAAAGTATCCGATAAATCTGCAGGCAAGTTAAAACTAAGTACTTACTCTCTGATCCAACTCATGCTGAAATTATTGTTTCTATATGTAGCCTATCCTAGTCTGTTATGTATTTTACTGCCATTTATTATGGGGTATATATTGTGTTGTTGTTTATTAATGAACTGCTCTTTTTATAATACTGAATAGAAATGAAAAAAGTAGAAAATTGTGATAAAACCTGTCTTGTATGATATGCCTAATATGCTAGCCCACCAGTAGCTGAGTGGTAAAGTCATTGAATACTGGTAGTTCTGTTCGAGGTTCAAATCCCGCGAACAGGCTCTCTGCATGGGCATTTTTATGATTTTCCCCATGTGTAATATATATACAAACCAGTTTCCCTTAGAAAGTCTTCCATGAAGGCAACCCTTCCCTTAGTCAGACAGCCCTCATGTGCATTTGCCATAATGAACTAAATCAAGCCAAACCTAATATGTCATGTAAATTCAATTTTTTTATATAGTTAAAAGAAATTTGATAAGTTATTATATTTTAAATATAATACCAGAAGTTATGATAACAAGATTGTTTGCTGCTAGCATTGAGTATTAGTTACTCTTGAATTTCTATTTGCTTTTGAAAAGACAACATTCAGTTAGTGATCAAGTTCAGTTATAAAAAACTACTGAAGTAATTCTTAATGCAATTCTTCATTGTGAAAAGGTGAAGACTTCTTAAACGGTGTGCATATTGTGCAGAAAGTTTGCTCTTTACTGAAATGTGTAATGTATGATATTAGAAAGATCTTTTATTAATAATAATACAGTCGAATACTGAAAATCCACCAACTCCTGAAATCCGCATTGCCTCTCAAAATATAAGCATTCAGTTTATAGGGTCCGGAAACCGCAACAATGAGTATGAAATATCGAAGAAAAAATACTTACCGAATAATGACATTATAATTACCGAATAATAATGAGTCATAACGGAAATACCAAATTATTGACTTGGAAAAGTTTAAAAAATAAGATAAAAAATTTTTTCCCTCTAATCTGCATAGAGGTAAAAAAGCAGACGATTCACTCAATTCTTCGTTCGTTGCATTTTCTGAGCTTTGTTGTAATTTCACGAGATTGTTTAGTGCTGCCTTTTTTTTATCCGTATATTTGTGGTAAATTAAGAATATTTTTAATTTCAGCCTTTTTAATACAATGGAGATTAAAAACGCACTCATGATTTTACTGCTTGCAACGTTGAAAAACGTAAACCGTTGGCATTAACGGTAACCAAAAGTGCAATTCTGCAAAAGATGGAGGCAGGTGCTACCCTCGATTTTTGCAGAATGGTATGAATTGCAACACGATTTTGTATGATATACAGAAAAATAAAGAAGCTGTTGAAATTTTACAGCACAGTGATTCAACACCGAATACGAAACCGGAATCTTTGCATGAGGTGAAATCGGCAAACCTCGATGCTGTGTGCATATAATTGCAATGAATATATATCATTTATACATGAAATAGTATTTAATGCAATAATTATTATAATAATAATAATTTAATTAAATGTATTTAATAGGTCTTATTTATTTGCACTTTTAGTCCGAATATGATGCTTTATCTTTTCTGTCCTGAAATCCTCAAAATCCTAAAATCCACATAACCTCTGGTCCCAAGCTTTGTGGATTTTTGGACTTTTACTGTACTAATGCAAATGTTTATAGAAAAAGAGTTATCATTTACAAATAGTATGAATTACATTTATTAAAGATATAGTAGTATGTAGCTTGCTTTTAAATTGGTGAGTTATATAAATTTAATTTGAAACCATTTAATTTTAATTTGAAAGGTAAATTTTAAGTGTTCTGCCATAATGAATTACAGTAACACTGAGAATCGACAATTTGGTAGCATGTTGATGGTCAGTTAATTAAACATCTTATGTCACAAAGAATATCTGTACTTGATAGTCTGTATGCCATTTGATGCTTGAATTATGCTGCCATGAATGATTCATTTCTTGCCTATACACACAATTTTATGTGATAAATTTTTAAATTATATGTTATATACAATATAAATAGAATTAGTCTGAAACTGATAAGAATACTTCTTTAATAGGATAATTCTTAATTAGTTTTTGTTACATCAATAAAGAGAACAGATGTATTTCTCCATAAACAACATGTGGATTGTAGCTAAAAGTCTTTAATTGTTATTTTAATTGTAGCAGAATATGCAGAAACAATTTAATTAGAAGTATGGACAGTTGTAGTATTTAACCCTTTGTTGCATACAAATAATCTAGAGAAGTTAAATGAAAATTATTGTATTTTTTCTATTTAAATTAACCTTAGTAATAATTTTTTTAAAAAAATTTAATTTTTTTAATTATTACTAAGGTTACTTAAGATGCGTGATTTATGGAGTAAGATAATTTTAACTCAAACTTAGCATTTTATAGAAAATTCAGTAAACTTTGTATAACATTTCATGCAGTAAAAAAAAAAAAAAAAAAGTATGTCTTCTCGAAGTTAAAAAGAAATAAATAAAAATAAGAGAGCTTGTGTGAAATAATAAATTTTTCTTGGTATGAACAAACTTTATATCTAAATGGATATGAAAATAATATAGTACATGGTGTAAGCTAATATCAAAACATTAAGTACATTTTTTAGTTTCTGATAGCTTTTTAAATTGTTAAAACTGCAGTAATTGAATGATGGATGGATGTGGCAATAGTTGTCCTGCATTGGAGTATGACTGAATCATAGTAATCTTACTTCAATGTGGACAAATTAAACATGGGTATTTGCATAATACAGTCAAAAGTCGTTAATTTGGACACTCGTAATCCGGACCTCAAAGCTACAAACTTTCTGCGCATGCGTCACGCTGACCTTTACGGCTGCGAATTTGCATGTGCAAAATACGTTTACGAATGCGCGTTTAATGTATAATGGACGGTATAAGCTAAGCTCTAATTATCTATTTCAGTTAATGTTGCAGATTGCGTTGTTCCTTAATCTTCGAATTGGATCCGGCTTATTATTTTTTGCAGACTGTTAGAGCAATTTTATAAAAGTAAGCTTGACTTTCGATTATGTCAATAGAATTTCCGATTTATATTTACTAATATGTAACGGATCTACAAAGCGAAAGATGTTTCGGAGTCCATTAAACAAAAGTGGAATTGCTGCAAAAAATGAATAAAGGCATATCCTTTTTTATCTAAACTTTAACGTTTTTTATCTTAACACATGGCACAATTAATTGGAAGTTGATCTGTCAGCACTATCCTTATCTTCAGGCAGATTTTTTATTTTATTTGGCTTATAATTCCTTACTAAATGTAGTATTTCCTCTCGATGTACTCTTTCTTTGATATGATTTAAATCAAATGCTCCTCATTATAATTCGCTTCCGATAGCGAAGAAGTGACAGAGGTTTTGAAAACGAAAAAATTTCGATTGACAAATTAGTCGGTATTCTCGACACAGCAATTATAGGACTTGAACAGGCGAACTTTGTACTGAACAAGAATTATGTCTGTTTATAGAATTAAAGAGAATGTATCACATAAAAAACGAAGCAACTTAAACAACTTACATTGAAAGAAATTTTAAAGTAAACAAATAAATATAACCTTTTTTTTTTTTTTTTTTTTTTTTTTGTAATTTTGATACACTTTAGATCATAATTGTTCTTTATTCGTAAAGGATCATTTTTTAATTTATAATTTCTGCACTGCCATTTTACAGATTTAAACTGATGACTATATCCGGAAAAATCGATAATCCGGAATCGCGGAAGTCCCAACGAGTCTGGATTAACGACTTTTGACTGTATAGTAGTGCTTGATCATGAGCATATAGTAAGAGCCAAGAAGAATTGAAATTCTAATCTGAAATGGCATATTCTTTCAAGTGCTTTTTTTTTTTTTTTTTTTAAATAGATAGCAGTATAAGCTTATAATGAGAACACATCAGTTTTATACAAATATCAGGGACAGATATAATAGTGAGCATCAACAGAAGTTGTAAGAACAGAGACCTTCACGGTTTGAGAAGGATGATAATCATCCGAAGAAAGGGTTTGGTTTATTTAATTACGGCAAAGCACACTAGGGCTATCTGCCTAAGGGGAGGGATGCCTTCATGGAGGACTTTCTAAGGAAACTGGCTCGTCTACACGTTGCACATGGGGAAAACCACGAGAATGCCCATGCAGCCAGCCTGTTGCGGGATTCGAACCTCAGACCGAACTACCAGTGTTCAGCGACTTTACCGCTCGGCCGCTGGTGGGCCCCCGAAGGAAGGGAATATTGTAATAAATTGCATTGCTACTATCACTCGTTGCACTCTACATTGAACACAGCATTCTACTATATTTAGCAGTCGTCAGCCAATACAATTATTCTTTGTGATAGCATTGCACCAACCTGTGTCAGAAAATGCCATAACTGGATGACTGATGTTTGGCCTGGTAAATTTCTGTTTTGAGCAGAACAGATGGTTTTTGAATGTCAAAGAGTTCACTTGAGCTGTAAATCGATGTCAGTAGTATACAAACTGAGTACTGCTGACATGAGTTTGAAGCATATTATGTAGGAATATGTGAGGACGAGTTAATGTAACAGTTTTCCTTCACATGTGTAATAGGTGCAAATCTTATTGCAGATCACTTGCTGTTCTTCATGAACATTATTTTCGCTGTAAGATGATGCATTCCCTTATCACAAAAAAAATGAACGGGCTCTCATCCTCTTGTCATGGTTATATGATACAGAACTGTTTTAATGAAAACTGCTGATTTTCACATATCTCCATGAACTTTTGCACTTGTCAAATTTGATACGTATTGAGCACTTACAGGTTTGTATTTAGATCTCATTAAATAATTTGCCATTATATCCAACAACAAATCTGCATTATGGACAGTTGTAGAACATATTTAAACTCTACTTAAAATAACCTTAGTAATAATTTTAAAAAATTAATTTTATTCATATTTCGTTTTAAATAATTGATACAGTTGGTTCACTACAGTGGACAGCATGCATATACTATGTACATGCATACAAATCTCTTTCCAACGATTTACGGTCTTTGCATTTGAAATCATTTCCTGCCTTGTTTGCAGTGACCATTACCATCTTCTAAATGGTAAATCTATAACTGACATGCACATACAGATCCCCAAAATACCTTCATTTCGTCAATTGCAATTGAATTCATTTTGCTATGAATTTGTAACTTGTGCCTGTAGGATTCAAATGTCAAATGTTCTAGAAATTCCTTGCCAAACATAAACATTTCCAGGGGTGTTTTGGCTTGATAAAGCGGTACATTTGAGTTTCAATTCATTCTTTTCGCTAGATCTCTTATCTACCCACTCCACAATTTCTCAACTGATATTTAAAAAAAATGTCCAAAAGTACTAAAGGAAAAAATGGCAGTAAGAAAATGTAAGCAATATAATAATGTTTATATGCGAAATTGTGCTAACTTGGAAACAGAAGTAGCAGCCATTTTTCAAATTTCAATGCTTTACTTAGTGATGCTATATAGCCATCTATGATCAACAGTTGAAAATTCTAATAATGTAGAATGAATAAACATAGGAATGGAATCTGTTAAGGCATTCACAGAAGAATAAACAAATATAAAATTTTGTTCACTAGAATAGACATGATGCACAGCATCCCTTTGATATTTTTAATTGTGTTGAAGGAAATATTCCAGCTGATGCTTAAATTATGATATGAAAAATTCTGCAGGTAAGTAGGATATAAAATCTGTGATTGGATGGTGAAATGTTTTTGATAAAATATTGTTAAGAAATGCCCAGCTGCTGTAAGGTAGCTTCCCCTGACGGCGGTTTCAGTATTGCCAGAAAGTTGCAAGGAAAAACTGGGTTGCCAGATTTAGCACAAAATCGTCCATTTGGCGACAAATTGGCGAAACGCCGTAGACGGGACAAGAACATTCTAAAACGAATTTGTTGTGGTTTATCTTATTTGAAAAAGTCTAAAAAAATATCATACCAATTTAACCCCAGAACAGCCAAGAGATGGCAGCACATGATTACAGACCACAAAATTCTATCCCAAGATTCTCAAGGAAAGAGTCAGTCGTGGAACGCGCGCGGTTGTGCACGTGTGTAGTTTGGAGGTGAAGATGAAATAAAAATTGTTAAGTTTGAAATTTTGAATCTAATTTGATCTTCCTAAATAATTATCATAGATTCTTAACAATGGTGACCGGCCTTGCAGCAAACCAAGCGTTATTGTTTAAACTAATTTGCACGGAAAAAAAAAAAAAAAATTTCTCTTTTTTTTACATATTACTTGGGACTTAGCCACGTGACTGAAAATGACTGAAGGAACAGCAATAATCGGAGCAGTAAAGATACCTGTGTACAACTTCGCCGATCCTGCACTATGGTTCACTATGTGCGAAGCAACATTTGAATTGGGAACACCGAAAGCGATATCGGAGTCTCGCACGAAGTATAATTACATTGTTTCGCACCTGCCCGCCGAAGCCGCATCAATTGTGAGAGATGTGATCAAAGCCCCCAACTCCACGGATCCTTACAATCACATTAAAACTGAGCTAATCAAGCGTGCGGAGAAATCGACGCATCAAGAAATAAAAAAACTCCTCGGCGGCGAACAGTTGGGAGATCGCCGGCCAAGTGAACTCTTACGCATAATGCGACGACGCGCTGAGTCATACAGCGTTTCCGATGAACTAATGCTCGAACTGTTTTTACAGCATCTCCCGAGTTTCGTACAGTCGATACTCGCAGCGATCACGCCTTTAACCTTGGATAAAGCTGCGGAAGTTGCGGATCGTGTCATCGATGTATCACCATCTCCTGTAGCGGTAAGTGCCACAAATATTTGTTCTGCTAATACCTCAGATTCCATTGAAGAACGTTTACTCGCAGAGATAAAAAAATTGCACGTAAGAATCGATAATATCTCGCGTGATCGTCGCCGCACTCGTAGTCAGAATAAATATCGCGGCTAAAGAGAACGCAGCCCCTCTCAAAATAAAAACAAGTTTGATACCTGTTGGTACCACCTTAAATTTGGTGAGAGAGCTATAAAGTGTACCCCGCCCTGTAAATTTTCAAAAAAACGGCCCAGGCGAGGCATAGCGGCGACTACAGCCTTGCCCTCCAATTCTCGTCGCCTTTTTGTTAGAGATGCGCGCACAAATGTCAACTTCCTCATCGACACGGGTTCTGACGTATCTATAATTCCAGCAAGCAAGCATTGCAAAGGCGAAATCGCATCCAAATGACCCTTTCAGCAGCAAACACTACACCAATTTCCGTCTACACTAGCCAAAATCTCTCCTTAGACTTAGGTTTAAGACGCATATTCAGATGGACCTTTCTTGTCGGCAGTGTTTCAACCCCTATTATTGGTGCAGATTTTTTGTATAATTTCAACTTGATGCCTAACCTCCACACACAAAAGATTAATCGACGGCTAACACTAATCTTGGCTCTAAATGCAGTTTACGAGTTAGTGCAATACATTCAATAAAGACAGTATCTGGCGACAGTATATACCATAAATTATTATTAAGAATTTCCAGAAATCACAAAACCACCCCGTGCTGACCAAGAAATTAAGCACACAGTAGTGCATCACATATCCAAACCACAGGACCTCCCGTCACTGCTAAAGCACGACGTCTTGCCCCAGACCGCCTACGAATCGCCAAAGAAGAATTCCAAAATATGATAGAATTAGGCCACATTCGTCCTTCAAAAAGTAACTACGCATCACCTTTGCATATGGTCCCTAAAAAGGACAGCACGGAATGGCGTCCTGTAGGAGATTACAGAGCCCTCAATGCACAAACAATAAAAGATAATTATAACATTCCTAATA